AAAAAAAAAAAAAAGGTATGACTTTGACAGTGGCATCTTCCTTCTCTACTTAGAGGACAATTCTAAGCTGGTCTGAGGTTCAGCCCTTAGGATGTCATGTGACATGAGAGACACTAGGAAGGAGTTGTCCAAAGGCATCCCACTTACTCTGAGTTCTATCACTGAAAGTCATGCCCTTGAATATGTGAATGAAATTAGCTCAGTGAAACCCTGTTTTGTTTATACCAGGCTCAGGCCATAAAAAATGATAAGTGCCTTACCAGAATGTATTTACTGTAAACTAAGGTGCTACTGTTTGAATATGAAATGTGCCTAATAGACTCTTGTTTGAATCCTTGCTCTCCAGCTGGTGGTGGTATTTCAAGAAGTTCTGTAACTTTAGAAGTTAGAAACCAGACGAAGGTTATGGGTCAATAAGGACATTTCCTTGGCCCCTTCAGCTTCCTTCTCTGCCTCCTCTCGGCCAAGAGTTGAGTTGCAAAGGGCCAAGCTACCGCAAGTTCCGAAACCATGAATCAACATGAATCCTTCCTCTCTGTCAACTATGGCTGTCAGGTGTTTGGTCAAAGTGATGAGAGAGCTAATTAATCCATAAATTAAAAAGAAGAATTTAAAAAGGCCAAGTAGAAGTAAGAGAACTACAGAGGTATGAAAATAATGTAATTACAAAATCATCTGGGTCTGTGGAGCGCTACAAGAATGGTAGGATCTACCTCTTGGGTAAGAAGACCCAACAGAAGATGGGGTTGCATGATGCTCTCTGTCAGGGAGGAGAAATGTAGATGCTTTCAGAGTAGAGGCTTCAAGGAACTGTAGCACCAATAGCAGCAGCAACTGTTTGCTTGCACTTAATGTGGCCTAGGAATTGTTCTAAGTGGTTGTATTGTTTCATCTGCCTCACAATGGCCCGTGGAGCACTCTGAAAGCTAAAATCAGCTGGAACCACTGGTCCTTCATTTGTGCCTTCCTAAAGCACAGCCATTGTGACTCAGAGACTGCATGGAGAGAGTGCCACCAGCAGTCTGAATCATATCAAATCTGTCCCAGTGCATAACACACCAGGCTATTGAAGCAATGATCTTGGTGGCCTCTTGTTCCCTGAATTTTCAGGTATTGTGTTTTCCCAAGTCATGCATGACCTTATAACATCCCATTTTTTTTTTTTTTTATCTTAAGAGAGCGTTGGCTTCCTGGGAATTTATTTTCATTTATTTATTTTTTTATGAATTTCTGTGGCAGGTCCACCTCGGTTTGCCTTCTGCCGCCCTCCAGGGCTTTGTGGTCCCTTGCTTCCCTTCATCAGGTCCTTTTCGTCTGAGAACAACTTGATTCATGTGCCCAACCTTGACCAGCACAGGCAGGCGCTAATCTCTACTTTATAGGTGAAGCAACCGAGGCTGGCTCACACCTGTAACAGGAGAATTGGCATGAGTTCTAGGCCAGCTTGGGGCTTCAGCATGAAGGTTGGGCTACAGTATACACATCTCCCTCACAGCAACAACAAATAACTTGAAGTTTGTACAAAGACGCACGCTTCATGGGTTAGTGGACATCTTAAAGGCTTCCATTTTAAAGTTGGGAATCATACAAACAGGACTGGGGAAAGAGAAAACGAAGTTGCTTACGCCCCAACCCTATCCCACCTCCAGCCTCAACTTATGACGAGGCATGAGTCAAATACAACCTGAAGCTTGGGGGAGCCTATCCGTTTCCATTTCCTGTGGCCTCCTGCATGAGCCTTCAGTGTGGGAGTCATGGTTACTGTGCTTATGTTAACTGCTTCAGGGGGACATGGAGCTTGACCCTGGCTGGAGGAGCCATCAAGTCTGATGGTTGCTCTGGGAAAACTTCCCACATTGCTGTTCATGACACTTCTAGAGCTTCAGACAGGCAGCTGGATGGAACACACCCTCAGGGCTCCACAGTAGAGAGACATGCCTGATTGCCCGTTAAATTGGAACACGCACTAGGACATCTGGAACAAGGGAAAGAAAAATGTCAGCAGTGTCATTGGAGCTGAGTGGTAAGAGCAGGGCTGGCTAGAAGTGGCTGGCCTCTGTCCCTGGCTAGTGTGGGTGTCTATGGACAGGTTATTTTGGACACTTCTGGACTTGGGTTTCCTTTTCCAAAGCAGAGATTGGATCATTTGACTACTAGGTGCCCTTTAGCTCTGGGGCGGAGGGGTGTGTGTTGTGAAATGTGAAGTAGCTACTCAGTTTAGGAAGTGCCACCCAATGCAATGGGGTCACACGTTGGTCAGTGCAGAGCTAAAAACATTCACAGTCCAGGAGTAAGCCTCGTGAGGGACTGCAGCAGGTAAGGAGAGTGCCGGGGTCATTTTCAAAGCATCATACTCTGAACAAAGCTCGGCGGTTTTCTTTAGGAAGCCCACACATACCAGATATGAAAGTGCTTTAGGGGCAAGCACATTCCTGGGCATGCTTAGTTAAAGACTGCGTCCCTAAAACGTGCTCAGTTTAAGGTCATACTCTAGAGGAAAAATAGTGGGTCTCCTGCTGCAGCAAGGAGAGTGGGAGCCCCTGCAACATGAGCTCTGAACAAGACTCTACTGGTTGTAAGAAAATGGCAGGCAAGCTGGACACAGGGGAAATCTCCAGCTTCAATAAGGCCAAGCTGAAGAAAACGGAGACACAGGAGAATGCCGACCAGAGAGACCACTGAACAGGAAAAGAGGAGTGAAATTTCCTAAAAGCCTAGACTAGAGGATTTCTCCACCCGACCCTCCCCTGCCATCTCTGAGACACCCTCTCCCCCCACGTGTGTGATGTGGAGGAAGAGCTAACTGCAAGATAGAGGCGAGCCTCAAGCACAGTGTGAACTCTGGTGCTCTGCTCTGATGATACCGGTGAGCAGGTCTGAAGGGGAACCCCACCCCCTCGCCCCTGCCGGAGCATCAGACTGCCAAATTTCAACAGCTTGTTCAGGGATAGTATAGAAAATTATTGGTATGATTGATGAAAACAAAACACACCTCTTATTTTTTTAATGCCAAAAATAAATGGAGAAATATTGGACACATTCTGGGCCATGGTTAGCTCAAGGTTGTGGAGCACACGTTCAAAAGGTTAATATGGAAGTCAGAAACACTTTTAGGCATACTCAGTTTGCACCATAGAGATGGTGTTCAGAAACCTGCTGGCCATGTGCAGTTTTCTCTAGTCAGTTTTAGTTAAACAGAGAGGACATTTGGAAGGTGTGTTAACATAGGAGTTTGCTTCTGAAGGTGCTTTGCCTCTCTTTGCTAACAGAAGCCTTTGAACACAA